GATATTAGAACAAGGGCTACACCTAGATCCAGATAGACTTCACAGTGTCCTGTTTCCCCAGACCCAAAACTAATGCCAACTGGGAGGTTTTCTCAGGCTAGTAGGTTATTGCCAAAATTGGATTCCAGATATCTCTCTTATGGTCAAACCTCTATATGTTTTACTCAACAATAACAAACCTGACCCAATTTTTTGGGAAGAATTGAATGACATAGCCTTCAGGGCCTTAAAGGAGAGTTTGATGAACCCACTTGTCCTTGGGTATCCCAATTATTAGATTCCCTTTTCCCTTTTTAGATGTGAAAAGAAAGGGAATGCCCTTGGGTAAACACCCAAAAACATGGGAACCACCATCAATCCATAGGGTACTATAGCCAGCCACTGGGCCCTGTAATGCAGGGATACCCCACATGCCTTAGAGACATTACAGCCACTGCCCTTTTGGTTAAGGCCAATGGGAAGATTGTTGTTCCCTTTAATCATTTTTGTGCTTCATGCAGTAGAAACTCTCGGGAATTCTCGTGACACTCAACATTTCTCAGCCACTTCACCTCCTATGAAATCCTTTGTATTAAATGCCCCTCAGATAACTATTTTACATTTTAATATTTATTTATTTGGTTGCATCAGGTCTTAGTTGCAGCAGGCAGGCTCCTTAGTTGCAGCACGTGGGCTCCTTAGTAGTGGCACACGAACTCTTAGTTGCAGCATGTGGGATCTAGTTCCCTGGCCAGGGGTTGAACCTGGGCCCGCTGCATTGGGAGCATGTAGTTTTATCCACTGTGCCACCAGGGGAGTCCCCTATTTTACATTTTAATAACCTTAGCCTGGCTACTTTTCTCACCTCTGTCACCAACAAAGTCCATCACAACTTCTTAAATCTGGTGGACCACCTCCTGACTCCTCATAATGACCTACAGGAAATTCCATTGGATAAAATTGACTTCTCATTATTCACTGATGGTTCTTATTTAAAAGGTGACAATGGCAAATGTTGTACTGGGTATCCTATTATAAATACTTTTGACACTGTGGCTAGTTTGGTTCAACAGGCTGGATTATACACTCTTACACAGGCTTGTACTTTGGCCAAGGAAAAAACTGCCAATATTTATACTGATAGAAGATATGCCCTCAGAATAGTTCATGATTTTAGAATGTTGTGGAAGCAACATGGCTTTCTTACTTTCTGTAGAAATAGAATTAAAAATGGCCCCAATGCTCAGGAATGATTAGATGCAATACCTTTTCCAGCCACTTTAGTGATTATTAAGATTCCAAGGCATTCTGAACTTGGCTGTCAGGAAGCTAGAGGAAATCACCTTGCTGATATTTCTGCAGGGAATACTACCCTTAAGGGGACCAAGAGCAACCAAACCTCTGTCATGGTCCAAAGGGATATTTCCCCAAATAATAATTTGGAAGAACTGTCCAGAGAGACCCAAAAATTGACCCCCCAAAAAAAAACAAGATTGAAAACTTGACAATTGTTTTGGCAAAAAGAGAAAGCTCTGGTTTAGGCTAAATAACAACCCAGACCTACTGGAGACTCTAAAATTCCCGCTCCTCGCCATTATCCACACATTAAGCCATTCGTTTATGGACAAAATGATAGCTTTCTTGAATTGATATTGGTGGGGAAACATTAACAAGGCCACAACAATGGACCCCTCTTGTCCTACTTATCCAAAATACAAGTCAGGGAAGCCTGTTCCTACTGCTCCTGGAACACTTTAAACTGTCTAGTGGACCATTTGAAGTCTGGCAAATAGATTTTATACAACTCCCTCTGTCTAATGGGTATAAATATGTTTTAGTCATGGTCTTTATATTTTCACACTGGAGTGAAGCCTTCCCTTTCAGAGAGGCTATTGTCTCTTCTGTGGCTAAAGTCCCTTTGGAAAATATTATCCCTACCCGGGAAACTCCTCTTGAACTTCACAGTGATTAAGGAACTCATTTTACTGGCCAGGTGCTTCTGCAAGTCTCTGCTGTTTGGCTGGTTTTACACTTTCACTGTGCTCACCACCCTCAATCCTCTGCTTTAGTCAAACACACTAATGGTATTATTAAGACTCAGGGGACTTCCCTGGTGACACAGTGGTTAAGAATCCACCTGCCAATGCAGGGGACACGGGTTCTAACCCTGGCCCGGGAAGATCCCACATGCCAAGGAGCAACTAAGCCTGTGCGCCACATCTACTGAGCCTACACTCTAGAGCCCGTGCTCTGCGACAAGAGAAGCCACCACAATGAGAAGCCCGTGCACCACAACGAAGAGTGCAACGAAGACTCAACACAGCCAAAAATAACTTAATTAATTTTTTTAAAAAAAAGACTCAATTGGAAAAGTTTTTAGAAGCCCTCCAATACCTTGGCCGCAAGCATTGCTGTTGGTCCTTCCAAATCTCAGATCCATCCCTTCTGGGACTCATCAGCTCTCACCCTTTGAGACAGTCACAGGACTCCCAATGCACTTGGTTCCTGCTTCTTTTGACCTACAACTGATAAAAGGAGAGATACTCTAATGTTGCAAAGGCCTAAGCTTCTATTAAAAATAACCATGGGGCTTCCCTGGTGGCGCAGTGGTTGGGAGTCCACCTGCCGATACGGGGGGACACGGGTTCGTGCCCCGGTCCGGGAAGATCCCACATGCCATGGAGCGGCTGGGCCCGTGAGCCATGGCCGCTGAGCCTGCGCATCTGGAGCCTGTGCTCCACAATGGGAGAGGCCACAACAGTGAGAGGCCCACGTACCGCAAAATAAATAAATAAATAAATAAAAATAAAAATAACCATGGTTGGGTAAAGCAATCTTTTCACAGTGCACCCCAGAAGACGAAGACCTTAAGCATCACACCTTGCAAACTGGAGATTTTGTCTATCGGAAAAGACACTTCGAGGAAAACTCTCTTCAGCCTTGCTGGAAAGGCCCTTACCAAGTACTGCTAATCAGCTCTTGTGCAGCCAAACTCCAGTCATATGTCAATGGCATCAATAAGTACAGAACTGAAATTGGTATTTGACATTAGGAGAACATTGGTGACTTGGTGGTCTTATTGTGAATAATTTCACCAGAGGATGAGGGGCAGAAGCAATAGATAGAGCTGGTAAATATTGGAGTAGAGATAGTTAGTATAGATGTCTATTTAGAAGCTTAATAAAAACTGTTGCTGTATTTATTTCAGATAACACTGGACAATTCATCAACCCAATTGATTAAAATATTGTGTAGCTAGTTGGTTTTTGTCTGGATACAGCACAGTGTATTTTTTCATATTTCTGAAATTAAAAACACAACTCTGGAATGTGAAGGCAATAGAGGAGAGATTTAAAATATTTTTCTTCAAGATTATTCTTAAACCACCCAGTCACCCACCTGATTCTTAAATATATCTGGAGAAGGCCGTTGTATAATCACTCGTATTCTCTAATATAACTCCAAGATAGAAGAGTTTTTTCAATATTCTATTATTCCCTACTGGAATTGAAGACTATTCCTGTGTTACCTCTCTTTATTATGAAATATTAATAACCACTGACCTTAGTATTTTAATGGAAATATGTCAATATCTAAAAAAGTGAACATCATTAGAATTAAATCTATATTAAAGTTGATATGTAAAACATAAATAAACTAGCTAATGGAACTAGCCAGTGTAAACAGTTGCCAGGGAAAAAAAATAATTTAATTTAATGGAGAGCCATATATCTTTTTTTTAAAATTTTTTTAACATCTTTATTGGAGTATAATTGCTTTACAATTGTGTGTTAGTTTCTGCTGTATAACAAAGTGAATCAGCTATATGTATACATATATCCCCATATCTCTTCCCTCTTGCATCTCCCTCCCACCGTCCCTATCCCACCCCTCTAGGTGGACACAAAGCGCCAAGCTGATCTCTCTGTGCTATGAGGCTGCTTCCCACTAGCTATCTATTTTATATTTGGTAGTGTATATATGTCCATGCCACTCTCTCACTTCATCCCAGCTTACCCTTCCCCCTCCCCATGTCCTCAAGTCCATTCTCTACATCTGTGTCTTTATTCCTGTCCTGCCCCTAGGTTCTTCAGAACCTTTTGTTTTGGATTCCATATATATGTGTTAGCATACGGTATTTGTCTTTCTCTTTCTGACTTACTTCACTCTGTATGACAGACTCTAGGTCCATCCACCTTGCTACAAATAACTCAATTTCGTTTCTTTTTATGGCTGAGTAATATTCCATTGTATATATGTGCCACATCTTCTTTATCCATTCATCTGTTGATGGACACTTAGGTTGCTTCCATGTCCTGGCTACTGTAAATAGAGCTGCAATGAACATTGTGGTACATGAGTCTTTTTGAATTAGAGAGCCATGTATCTTTTGTAGAGCTCCTGAGAAGGAAATTTTTGGATAGCATTTTACTTTGTTGAATTGTGGCTGAGTCATGTCAATTTCGGTACAGTTTTCAATATGAGATATCAGTTTAGAAATGTAATGTTTTCTGGGAAATTAAGCACTAAAAATAAATTAAAATCGAAGCCTTTACCCAGATCTTATGAAATGCAGTCAAGATACTAGATTCTGCCATATTTTTCAGGCATAAGTGAGAAGACCATATATATCAATTAAGATCAGACTTTTCCAAGCATTTCTATTTCAGTGAAAAGCATTTCTATTTGTTTTTCAAAAATGAGTATTGACTTTATATTAATGGCAATTAAAATTGTCATCAAATTTAGTTGTAAACAAAAGTATCCATCTTCAGGAAAGAGTCATTTTCCATACTATTTAACTTGGGCACCGGATCAGAACATTGTGTTTCTCAGCACCCAAGTCACAAACTTCATACCATTTTATGAAACCCAAGAGGGTGCAGAATTCACAGGTAGAACCAGAGATGTAAAAATCACTTGACTGAAATGATACTAAGGGAGTCAGGTACAAAGCAGAGCCCTCTTCTATGAGAAGGAGATTAAAATGTCAGTGAAACTGAAGAAAACTTTTTCTGAATGGTGAAAATAATTGGGTCATGACCAATGGTCTAGTAATTTGGTTTTGCCATAATCTGCTTACCCAATATATCTAGATGTGGGATGGTCAATTGTGTCAGGATACAGAGTTAAACTTTCTATGTGGTTATAAGATTAAAACCTGGTTCTCTTTACTTCAGTCATATTATTTGTCTGTTTAAAGACATGGAAAGTCATGGTTTCCATTGAGTACAGGAGATCTAGATGGGAAACAGCTTAATGACCTGTTCTATATTTGAGATACGGAAACTGAAACCCAGAGTAACTAGGAACAGTAATGCTATGACACATAATTTGTTGTAACACAGGGAGAAACTATTTTTCTTACCTTGGATCCATGTTTCAGTCTCACAGTAGTGCTGCAAGTTCTGAGATACTTCTAACTGAGAAATGCTGTGTGTTTCTCTCAGTTCCTCAAGAGAGTTAAGTGTTTTTCTCTCTTTCCCTCTCCTGGGACAGCCAAAATTGTGCCTTTCTAAGTTCTTCTAGGGATGAGAGAATGTATGATAATTGATTCTCTTTGTTTGGGGTAACACTCTAAAATAAGTAACAATCCAGGGCATTATTCACAAGTACAAGTCCATCAACAAATGTAGCTGAAATTATCTTAGAGCAGCCCTGTCAAACAGAAATATAACGGGAACCACACATGTGGTTTTAAATATTTTAGTGACCGTCTTTTTAAAAAAGTAAAAAGAAAGAGTAAACATAATTTTAATAATAGATTTCAGTTAACTTGATATATCCAAAATATTATTGTTTCAACATGTAGTCAAAATAAAAATTGTTAGTGACATACTTAAGACTCTTATTTTCATAGGAGGTTCCTATTTTTCCTTTTTCTTTTTGGGTACACGGGCCTCTCACTGTTGTGGCCTCTCCCGTTGTGGAGCACAGTCTCTGGACGTGCAGGCTCAGCGGCCATGGCTCACGGGCCCAGCCGCTCCGCGGCATGTGGGATCTTCCCAGACCGGGGCACGAACCCGTGTCCCCTGCATGGGCAGGCGGACCCTCAACCACTGCGCCACCAGGGAAGACCTCATAGGAGGTTTTTGAAATGCAGTTTTTTTGGTTTTGTTTTGTTTTGTTTTTGTTTTTCTGTGCTTACAGAACACCTAATTCAGACTGGACACATTTTGTGTGCTTAATATCTATATGGAGCTGATGGCCACTGTAACGCACAGCACGACACTAGAAGGTTAGAGGCAGAAAGAAGAGAGAGGTGATAAGCGTGATCTGGGCAAAGAATGAGATCCTTGGATTGTGAGGATTAAGGGATGCTGGAGATCAGTTTCCTATATGCAAATCTACTCTGCAATTTGGCAGGATTTCAGTGGGGAATGTCTGCAAAATACCTGTGGAGGGGTGCGAGCCAGGGTAATTTGCTTCAAAATATGACATTTCTTACATTCGATTATTGTTGAATAAATTCACACCTGTTGCATGTGTTTGCACCTCCAAATAAACAGAGTTTTTGATTAAAGGTTCTAAATAGAGTAATACATACTCAATACTTCTATCCTCAAAACCACCACTTGTGGCTCAATCTGATGAGGCCTGAATTCTGCCTCTAATCTCCTGTTGAAATTATCCCCCCTAAGACAAGGAAGGAAGAGGGTTACTTGACTCAGAGGAGGAGTCATTATTGGAAATTCTCATGAAGAATTTATTTTGTGATATCATTATTATTTTCTTCTACAACAAAGCAAAAAAGATGGTTGGTTGAGAATAAACTCTACAGGACTTGTAACTTAATATTTATATGGTACTATATACCTTACTAAGGATTTGTAGTGTACTCAGTTTAACTATAAACCTGGGGAAATAAGACTTAGACTAGTCTAAGCATAGCAAAGACTTTTCATTTCACATGTTAACTCTGAAGCTCTGGTAATGGCCACCATGAGCATCTTGTAAATAAAGAATCTGAGGCTAAATTTCTCTTTCTTTTGAACTTTATTGAGGTACAGTTGACAAAGTGGTAAGATATTTAAAGTGTACATCATGATGATTTGATATATGCATTCTTTGTGAAGGGTGTCCTCCCATCTAGCTAATTAAACTGGGGTTGATTAGCAATGAAGACCGTGAGTTCAGGAGGTAGAGTGGATTAGATCGTGTTTGAATTCTATAATTGTACGCATTTTCAGTGAATGTTTTAGACTCCAGAAGTCACATTTGGAGAGTCAGACATATTCAAGAACTATTTCTGCCTCATGTTGGTGTCCAGACCCAACTCACTGCTCATTTTTACTGCTGTGAAAACCAGGAAGAGTAATGGCATCAGTTAAGTTGAAATGTGGGGTAGAGGAATAAGAATGGGCTTTAGAATGAGATTACGTGTATGTAAATGTTAACTCTGAAAACTCAGTTATGTACGTTTGGGAAAATCAATTTCCCCTTCTCTAAAATGAGGATAATAATAACACCTATCTTACAGGAATGTTGTGAAGCCTCCTTTAATGTGTAATGCCTTTGACATTTGTTATTCTTAGCTAAGTATGATTTGGGACCGTTATGCGATTTTTTAAGGGCAAGGACCATGACTTAAGTTTCTTTGTACATAACTGGCATAGGTAAACAATAGGTATGCAAGCAAATTAAGTACTTCTAAACTAGAATGTTATCAAGTTTTTCTTTTTGTGTACTTCAAAGCAAAAGAATAAATTAACTTTCTTTTTGGGTAGGTCAAAGTACAGACTTTATTAGAGACAGGATAAGATGCTGAATGACTTCTTTGGGTTGCTTCCAACCCTTTCTTTCTGTGCTACTTAAATAGAAAGCTGAAAAGGAAGGGCCTGCCCATGACAATTTTCAGCAGAGATTCATTGGTAGTCATTGTATGGTTGTTGTAAAATACAGCTTAGTATTTTATGGCAGCTTAATCTACTTTGCCTTTCATCTGTGCATCTGTGAAAAAATAGTGACAACATGGAAAATATTCTAAATCAAACATATGGAGTGTTGGAGTCTGCAGCCAAAGCCTGTCCTCATCAAACTGTTATTGAGAGAATGTAGAAATTCCAAGGCTCGTGTTGAATGCTAGATTGTTGTACTCAGATAGCCACTCTCTTAAGTTGATTATTATTTAAAAATATCCCCAGAACAGAAAGAGGGAAGAGTCACATGAAGGATTTTTTTTTTCTCGATCTTACCAAACGTTTGACAGAAAAGGACTGTCAGTAAATCCTTATATAAGGAACATGCATACATTACACACACACACACACACACACACATACACACACACACACACACAATCTACATACCTAATAGTTGAACACTAACGTGTATGGATTCAAAATGAAAGAGGCTTAACATTAAAATTTTGAAATAAGAATAAATTGATGACCTGACATCATGTCACAATAATTTACTACAGTTTGGATATTTTTTTTAATACTGTGCCTCACACAGAGAGGCGAAGAATGGACTTCATGAAGTGCTGCTAACACCAGGACCAGTGTTTTGTCATTTGGACTGTGCCATCTCTACATCTGTAGGAGGGACCAGTCACATAGATTATGATGTGAAGGACCTCCCTTTGAGTTGTAATTGGAGCAGCATTCAATCTAAAAACATCAAATGAACTTCAAATAAATGACTTCTATTTTGCGAGAAGGTGACTTCATATTATCTTTTAGTTTGACCATTTATTATGTTGTAAATTATTTGATTTTCTACATTTTGGTACAATGTACATTACTCAGCAATCTTTCTCCAAGAGCGATGCTTCACAAATGTTGGCTGCATTGTAATCTCTGGAAGCCTTGTTAAAAAAAAAGATTTCTGGGCTTCCCTGGTGGCGCAGTGGTTGAGAGTCCGCCTGCCGATGCAGGGACACGGGTTCGTGCCCCGGTCTGGGAAGATCCCACATGCTACAGAGCGGCTGGGCCCGTGAGCCATGGCCGCTGAGCCTGCGTGTCTGGAGCCTGTGCTCCACAACGGGAGAGGCCACAACAGTGAGAGGCCCGCGTACCAAAAAACAAAACAAAACAAAACAAAAAAGATTTCTGGACTCTAACCCCTTAGTTCCTAATTCAGTTAGGTTTGGGGTAGAGACAGAGAATTTTTATTTTGAACTAGTTTCTAGGTGATACTGATTCAGCTGGTCCAGGAACCACACATTGAGAACCACTTGATGATTGAAACAATATACATATGAGTAAATGAGCTAGGCAGCAGAATTACATTTATAGTGATTTTTTTTAATAATCTCAGTGTACATGGAGATACTTTTATGTAACACTCTGAATATAAAGTGACGTTGGTTATTTAATTAGATGTTTTCTATACCTAACCTTAAATATCCAAATATTTGATGTCATATAGACAATTACTTTGATTACCTTACATTTTACCTTTGGTACTGGTTTATTTAGATGAACTTGCTGTGTGTGAGATTGTATTTCTAATCAAGATGTTGAAATAATAATTTAAAAACAAGTCAAATTGACAATTCCTATGCTACCTAAAGATCTGCTTCAGAATATTCTTCTTTTAAGAGAAGCTGCTCAAGGCATTTAGACATCAGGGGATGTTTGACTTCAGGATTCAATTATAAGGCATTTCCTTATTGAGTAACTTTCAATATTTTTCTAATTACTGTTTTTTCAATTATAAGCTATCACCTGGTGCCTGTTTAGGGTGGTGCAGGCTTTGCAGTTAGTCTGTTTCCAGCCGTAGATTACTTAAGAGACAAGTAAAGCACAGAGGAATTGCCATATAAAACAAACCTTATACTCTCAAGTTAAGGAGAAATTCAGGCTTTCTAAAAAATATTTTAATATGTAATAAAAAGCACCAAATTTTTTAAAACAAGAAAATAAATGAACAAAACCCCCAAAGCAACAACAAAAAAATAAACATCAAAATTTATTTATTACATTGATTGTGCTGTATACTATTTCTGCTCATTTAATTAAATAAAATAAATTTTATTTTTGAAAGATACAGAAAATCACACAAAATATACAAAAATATAAAACAGAAGAAT